AGAAGCTGGAAGAGGCAAGGAAATGGATTCTCTCCTGGACCCACCAAAAGGAATGCAACCCTACCGACACCTTAACTGAAGCCAGTAAGGCCCATTTCAGACTTCTCATATCCCGAGCTGTAAGCTTAAAAAATGTGTGCTATTGTCCTTTCCCCATGATACTTTCTGTAAACACTTTCCCCTATTCATTATAAACTTTTAATTCTGTTTTAAGTGTGCTCTTCAGGAAGCATAATATTTAGTGCCAATTTTTATTTCATTTATTTAAAATAATTTAACTATTTTATATTTATTTTCTATTGTTTTGGTAGGGCTGATTTTTGTCCTTTTTACAGGGGATGGGGAGGTAGGGAAAGAATAGTAGAGATGTGTTTGTTTTCAACTCTGCCTTGCTACAGACTCTGCTTTTATATGATGTTGTCTTCTAAAATAAATTGGAAAGTATGTATCTGTATTTAAGTCTATTATTAGTAAACAGTGATTTTTTAAAAACATGTATCTAATTATTGGACAAAAACATATTTCATATTTTATATATATATCCACATATATATATATCATATATATATCATGACTTTCTGGAAATGAACTGGGCTTCCTAGCACCACCCAAATCTTATCTTCTAAGTTAGAATCCTATTACTACACTGACCCCGAATGCTGGTTCTTCTAAAAAGAAAAAAATGATTAAAAACATTTTAAAAGAATTTATCAAAGTTTTATTTTAAATGTATCATTCTTTTTGTCTTATGAAAGAAATACGTATGTATTATGACAATCTAAAAATATAAGCATGAAAAAGGAAATAATAATCATTTCACAAAAAAGATATCACCTAGATATAATCACTGTTAGAAGTCTGGGTTTGGGTTCCAGTAATGGTGAGATAGCTTGAAATAACCTAACATTTTCACAGATAGCAAAAGACAAAACAAACAAACAAAAAATGATTTAAATGCACTAGAGAACAAGCAAAAGAAGGCAGATACTGAAGGGGAGTCAACCCTTAAAGAACAGACCCATAATGAATTAAGTCCAGGGTAGACAGCATTTCCTCTGACCCGTCTGCAAGGGGGAGAGACAGCTGGAACTCAAGCAAAAAGCTACAATATTACTGACTGAGGTGTCAAGAGTTTGGGATACTGAAGTGGCTGGAAGTCAAGAAGAGAAACCTAGAAAAACATGCATATAGACACCCTTCAAATTGTTGGCCAAACCTGGAAGTGTACATCTGTGGAGGAGACTTCAAAGAGCCCTGTGGAAAGCATCAGCTGCAATATTCAAAGAACTGAGCAGAGATTTCTGCTGCTGCCCACTGCTGGGGAGACAGGAGTTTAGGGTTTGAATCCCATCAAAGAAAAGAAGCTTGGTAAATATGCTGAGCTTTCCACAGACTCATCTTTATAAAGGATAAAACTAAGCTTCCCCCAAGTTCAAGAGAATCGGCCAGAAATACATCTGCACACTAAAACAAAATGCAACACTCTTCAGGGGAAGACAATAAAATTCAGAATCTAGAAAGATAGGGTTTATAAACTAACAGACTGGCCACATCAGACATAGGTGAAAATAGCGAGCAACTGGAACTCTCATATAGTATGTACTGGTGGAAGTGTTACAAAAGTACAATTACATTGGAAAAATGGCATTTTCCAAAATGGGTGTGAGTATAAGTCTTTACCCTATGATCCATCAACCTTCTCATAGGTTTCAGGATTTTAACCCAAGAAGGAACTAAATATATGTCCACAAAGAGTCTTGTAAAAGAATGTCTACATATGCTTTATTTGTAATGGTCCCGGACTGGAAATAACTAAAAGTCCATTAAAAGGACAATAGATGACCAACTTGTAGTAAACACATACACACACACATACATAATAAATGTAGTATATATATATATATATATATATATATATATATATATATATATAGTACATATATACATGTATATACCACAGTTTATATATAGAGAGAACATAAACTACTCTGCAATGAAACAGAATGAATGAATTACTGATATATGCAACAACATGGGTGAATCTCAAAACCATTTTGTTGACAGAAGAAAGCCATACACAAAAGAAGATACTGCATAATCCCATTTATAAGAAGTTCAAGAACAGGCAAAACTAAATCAGAGCTCAGGGGTGGGGACTAACTAGAAAGAGGTGTGAGAAAATATTCTATTTCTTGACTGGGGTGACGGTTACACGGGTGTCTACATATATGAAAACTAATCGAACGGTACATTTAAAATCTACACATTTCACTGTATGTAAATTTGCCCCCCCCCCAAATGTCTGTGGTATATCCTTGCAGCCTTTTATATTTTTAAGAAAGATAAACACAACCCCTGACATCGAGATGCCTGCTTGGCACTCCTAATGCGGACAAAAAGTGTTGCCTGCCATTCTAGTAAACAAAATGCTGTCTAGCCACCAGCCACTGTAGCCACCCCTGACCGTGTGGGGCACTCTGGGGGGAATTCAGGATGGAGAAAAACAGGATGCTGGCCCCAGGCAGTGAAGATACATATATAAGAAATCATTTCAATGAGCCTGGACTCTTGCACCTTCCCATACGTAGAAAAGCACTAAAATCGTTAACTTGAAATGTCTGTTTTTTTGTGATCAGCAGTAATCTTTTGATGTTCAACTGTATGATGTTTTTTTTTTTCCAGCAAAAACTCCTATATATCCTGGCGCCTCCCTTGCCTCTTCGGAACAGTTCCTCAGAGCTACCTGAGAGGCTGTCTTCTGGGCTATATAGTCTTCAGTAAGGTTCCGGGATACAACATAACTCACAACTTTTAGGTTCTGTATTTCTCTTCAGTTGACAGTAGCTACCACACTTCGCTCTTCTGATGAACAGAAACAATTGCACAAACATTAAGCCATTCTTAATAACAAACATTTAAGTGATCAAAGAAAGCCACTCTGTGACTATTATAAAGTCAAAAACGAGATCAATCCATAATCATGTCTAAATACTGACAAAAATCATGAATACTAAGTCAATAAAATGACCAAATATCCCCCAAACCTTGCTAATTCTAGAGTCTGTTGCTTACTTACTAATTACTGATTCAGCCTCAAAGCATTCCTCTTGCCTCATAGAGGAGATTAAGGTTTCCAGTCATAGACCAGCCCCAGCTTTCTGAGAGTTTCTTACCAACAGAGCAAAAGCTTGCTTCCTGGAACCTTCCCCCAAATCACATAACACAAACCCAAATGCCATAAATAGGTCCTTTCTACACTCTTTTACCCAGAATGAATGGCATGTGTTCCTTCTAGTTGCCATAAACAATAACTCAACTTGTTCCACTACAGGTGTGTTCCTAGCAGTCATTGGCTGGAGATCATGGACACCATGTATACGAACGGTGTTTTTAAATTTTTTTCACTTAATGTATCTTGAATATGGCTTTCTATGTCTTCATATAGTCTACATTATAGTTTTTTATGGCTACATAACTTTCTACTACTCGGATATGCTAGAATTTCTTTAACTAAACCAATATTTTTCAGAAATCTAGGGTTTTTTCCTAATGTTTCACTATTATAAGCAGCCCTGATGAGCACTGAGCTGGTGAAATCTTTAAGGACCTTCACGATTATTTCACCAGGAGCAATTTCTTTAAATAAAACTACTGGAATGACTGGCTCAAGAGATATGAAACAATACTACATTGCACTCTTGTCTGAATATAAAATTTTAGCTACTGTAGGACAGACAGCACTTCAATCCACTTCAAACAGGCTACCATGCCCATTAACTCTCAGCTTCACTCTTACCAATTCTGCATCTTGTCAACTCTGATGGTCCTTTGTCCTCAACACACTAGACTTCTCAGCAGCATCTGACACAGGTAACTCCCCCTACTTGTTTAAATATGTCCTTACCTAGCTTCTGGGACACCACATTCACTTGGTTTTCTTCCCATGCCACTGGCCCCTCCTTCTCAGTCTCCTTTGGTGGTCCTTCTTCTTCTGCCAGACTCTTCAACAAGGAGAGTGGCCCAGGCCCCCTACTTTTCCATCAAACTTTTTCACAAGGTGACCAATCTATACTCATGATTTTATGTTCCATTTTCATATTTGTGACTTTCATAATTAAATATCCTCCCCGGACCTCGCCACTGAGCACCAGAAACACAGACTTCACTATTTATCTAACACGTCCCTCCAGACCTGCCCTACCTCAGGGAATGACACCACACACTCCACCCAGATGATCAGACAAAAACAAAAAACAAGGGAGGAAAAAAAAAAAAAAGCTATGAAGAAGAACCTGATAGTATGAAAAGTGACCCGGTTAGAAAAGACAATGAGTGATTTCAAAGTGAGTGCTTTAATGTTGAACTTCTCTTGTTTCTCCTTCCACATTTCAAATCAGATAATGAAGTGACACACTTCTGGGTTTTGGTGTTAATATGTTGTTTATTCTGTTCTAATGAAAATAACGGAGTAAATGTATAAAATACACATTATAAGTTCATTAAGTCCTCACAAAAATCCCATGAGGTGCATTTTTCCAGATGCGGACCAGTGGTAAACTGAGGCACTGACAGGCACCCAGAGGTACTGCTCATACCTTACACTGGCATTTTCCTAAAACATTTCGCTTTTAGTGGAATGAAAAGAAAGAAAATTCCGCTCCTGAAATACTCTATGAATGCTAGGCCACAAAGCATCAACTCACTGTAACGAGGCACCGAAGCATGTCTGGAAGCCATGCGTGATGCATAACTTATAATGCAAACCTAGGGCAGACTACAACCGAGCCCGAGCAGCAAATCGAATTGGTCCCCACGCTTGCATACGTGTGCGTGTGCCTGGGAAAGAGGCAGACGGAGCCTTTGTCTTTACACACGACCCCCAGAGACGCCGGCGCCCGCAGTCATGGAAGGGGCTCCCTGGACCATCTGGGTCGCGCGCGGTCGCGGGGCCCACGACGCATGCGTGACCCAGGCGCGAGGCTGCTCGGCCGGGCGCTTACCTGGTGCGCCGGGCGTGCAGATACAGTACCAGCAGCAGCAGGGCCGCAGCGAGGACCAGGCCCGGGGGGCTGAGAGGCCGCGGCAGCCACGGCTCCAGCGAGAAGCTGCCCATGCCCGCGGCCACGTCTTCCGCCGTCCGGATCGCGCGCGGCCGCGGGGAGCGGCCTGGGGTGTCTCTCCGAGCTGCGCGGCCGGCGAGTCTGCAGCCGGCAGAGGGTCCCGGGAGGCTGGCCTGGCGAGGCGCCGCCTGAAATGTCACCGAGGGCCCCCGGGGCCGAGTCTCAAAGTTCCCGGACTCCCCTCCCCCGGCCCACCCCCTCCCCCCCGACCCATGCGCACCGCCCCGCTCGGCCACCGCCTCCCGCCCGGCCGCCTCTGGAAAACTGCGCGCCGCCCACCCCCGCCCCCCCGCCCCCGGGGCAGGAAGAAGGGCTAGAGAAGAGGGGGAAAGGGGCTAGGATTTCCCGAGCTCGAGCCGCTGAAGGCCTGAGGGAAGGGGATTTCAGTTCGGAGTTGGAAATGAGTCGTTCGGGTCCGTCATGCCCTCGCCCGCGCCCCGCGACCGCGCTGGCCCTCGAAGAGGGTTGGGACTGTGCCCGCTGCGCCCTGGCCCCGGCGACCTCTTCGGCAGCCCCTTCCTCCCCGCCCCCAGCCGGCGGGCTGCCCGCGCGCCCGCGCTGCCCTTCGCGCGCCCGCGCCCCCGCTTCCACGCCGCGCTTCCCTGCTTGCCCCCGCGCCTGCTGGGCGCCGAGGCCAGTCCCAGAGGCCGGCAAGACAGGGCCCAGAGCTGGGCCGGGACCCTCCGGGAGTCCCCATGGGACACACCATCCAGGAAGAGAGAAGACAGAGGAAACGAGCTATTGCAAAACGACGCTAAGGTACTACGACATAAGTGGTACAAGCCCCGCAGGTTGTCCTTAGAAAGGATGAGGGAGAAACTTTGAAAATGTCTTTTCCTGAGTAATGACCATTCACATTACTTCGCACATGTGTATTTACTCTCCACACCAAACTTGGAACGTAAGTTTTAGCAATGTATTAGAGAACATATAATGAGGCTCAGGTTAAGGTAACTTACCCTGGGTCTTCGGTTGATAAGTAATTAAAAAACATTCTAGGGCTTCCCTGGTGGCGCAGTGGTTGAGAGTCCGCCTGCCGATGCAGGGGACACGGGTTCATGCCCCGGTCTGGGAGGACCCCACATGCCGCGGAGCGGCTGGGCCCGTGAGCCATGGCCGCTGAGCCTGCGCGTCCGGGAGCCTGTGCTCCGCAACCTGAGAGGCCCACGTACGGCAAAAAGAAACAAAAAAAACCCAAAACCATTCTAACCAAGGGTATTCCAGTGCCACTGTGTTCTTTCCTTTATGCAAGATTTTATTTGCGCAGTTCTCAAGACTATTACAGCAGCTTCACAACTGGTCTCCGTACCTCCGACCTTTGAGTTTTCCAGCCCATCCTCTCCATTGCCACGTCCCTAAAGCACAGACCTATCCAGCTTTGACCCTGTTCGAAACTCTTACTGGTTGCCTTTGTGATAGAGATAAATCTTCATCCTGCAGTGAGAAGTCTCCACAATTTGTCTCCATTCCCATGGCTAGGACAGTTCCATATACAAGAAAGCTGGAGCCACAGTGTCCCTCACAATCAGCCCTTTCACACCTTGGCTTATGACATTCTCTCTGCCTGAAAAAGTTTCCTCTCTCCCCTAAATACTAAAATGCTACCTACCTGTCAGTGCCCAGTTCAAATACCACTTCCTTCTAGAAATTATTCCTTACTCTTGTAATTAATCTCTCCCTCCTCTGTACTTTTAACACTGTCTCTGCTTTTGACTCCATCACATTTTCCCTCTCTATCTGAGTTATTTCTGTCTATGTCTGTCTGGCCTGCTATAGAAGGTGAGAATCATCTCTTAGACAACTTTTTCTGCAACTACTCTCCACCTCCTGTCACCCTGGCCCCCGACGCTGGAGTTGAGGTACTGTAGTTGGAAGTACTTTGCATGTGCCTGGCCCTTGGTCCATGCTCCAGAACTGAATTACTGCTGTGTTGCTGTCCTTGGCCTTAAAGCTGTGAATGGCTGGGCAAGCATGAGAATTCCAATGTTTATGAGTTTCTTCATCTGACTTTTATTCCAGGGTTTTCTACTGCCTCTCCTTTCTCCTGTCATAGATTCAGTTTTCCAGGAAATCAGGGTACAGTGAGCCAACAGCTATTCTGTCTCCTCCAAGAAAAAGCAAATTGGTTTCCATCACTACCTGGCCAGCAGAGCCAGCATGCAGGATGGTATCCATGCCGTGCCTTTCTGTACCCACTGCAAAAAGTGCCTCTCACTAATTTTCATGAGAATCCTCAACTTTTATACTTTAGTTTTCCATTTGATCTCCTGGATGACTCTCCTCTTTGAAGACAGAGGTTAAAATGTTCAGCGTTAATCAATTTGTTGAACATTTACCATGTGCCAAGCACCATGCTAAACATTTTATTTTATAACATTAATAACAGAAAACACCTGCTGTTAATCACAGTGTCTTACGTAGGTGGAAGGAAGAATACTACACTGTCACCTACTAGATTTGGTTAGCGACTGTGTCATCTCCCTATGGTATCTTACCTAGAATGCTTTATGGTATTCACTTAATAAATTTTGAATATATGTTTCTTTTGTGTTTTCCACTTCTGCTAAAAGGGGGCTCCATGCTGTAAACTGACCTGGTTGAAATAAAATCTAAAGACCTCTTTTATTCCTCTTTTGCTTTTGTAGCCCAATATCAGCATCATGATATTCAATCCAGTTCAATCTATTTTACCTCCAAAACGTGCCTTTATTCCCATCACTTCTCTGACAGAGATGACTAGTTGACCCTCCATGTCTGCTTCCCCCTCCTTCTCAGTAACAGGCCTCGATTTTTAACTGAGCCCATGGCTGTCCATTATAAAGACTGCTTTCCCAGCCTTCCTTGTAGTTAGAAGTGACCATGCAACTGAATTCTCACCAGTAGGCTAAGTTTCAGGTGTTACTTCAGGGAAGTGGCCTTAACAGGAATGGTCGGGCCCTTTGCTTGCTTCCTCTTTTCTGCTGTTTAGAATATAGACACTATGCCTGGAACTCAAGCAACCATCGGAGCACGTATAAGTATGTCCCAAATATTGCATTCAGTATTATTTGCTGTTAATATGAAATTCAAATTTATCTTGGGATTCTATATTTTTTTTGGTTAAATCTGGTAACTCTAGTTTAATTTCAACACAGGGGTTCATAAGGCATACAGGTAAGGCAACTAAATTCTAGCTGACCAATGGTCCCCTCCAGAAATCAGCCACAAATATTTCTTTCAACACTGGCTACCAATGTTAGTATCTTATGTACCTTGGCTACACGAATTAGACCAGGGTTAACAGTCAGATCTAAAAGAATCATGGGGTGGCCTTTATACTTTGAGGTATCCAGATGTGGAAATGTGTTCAGTACAGATAGCAACTAGCCTAATCATCTTTCTTCAGAAAATATTGATTGTGAGACACACGGAGAGAGAAAAATACAGAAGTAGGACCAGAGGGAGTAAAGGGAGAGCGTGATATATTGGAGTCTCTAAAGGAAGAGTTATGAAACTCTAGGTGACAGGTCATACTCCAAAGCCTTCCCCTTCAGCCCAGTTGACCCTCATCTACCAGGTGGTCTAAGCTGTCAGCCTCTTTCTCTGTTCTCGTTCTAGTCTATGATTAGGGCTTGAATTCTGTCCCTGTTTCCCTTGAGGCCTTCTCTTTTGAATCTAAAGAGCATGTTTGGAAGTCACCAAAACTTGAAAAATGACTATTTCCCTGCATTTCAACATCTATGTCCTAATTCTTCTGCTCTGACTTTGTCGTTTTTTTCTTTTTTTTTTTTTTGACCGCTTGGCTGTGGGATTTTAGTTCCCCAGCCAGGGATTAAACCCAGGCCCTAAAACAGTGAAAGCATGGAGTCCTAACCCCTGGACCACCAGGGGATTTCCAGTCGTGCTCTGACTTTGAAAATATGAATACACTGGATTGAGGCCTCCAAGTCCACCTATTTTGTCAGTAACTTCTTTTAAGTGCAAATTGTGTCCATGGCACTATGTCTGGACTGCTGGAGCTATAAAAGTGAATGAGATGGCTCTTCCTTCAAAGAGATGGACCTAAAAGGACTAAACGTGTTGACATTGGAAAGGAGAAAGAAAAGAGGCTAGTCCACGTGAGATTGTGGGGTGAAAATGAAGGGATTTAAGAACAGGCACCAATATGGCCGCAATCTTGTGAGCTCCTGGGAAGCAAAAAATGTGCTGGGGAAAGGGCATCTTGTAGGCTTTAGTTATTGGGAAACATTTGAAAGTCCCACTGTGGAAATTGTCAAAGAGGAATTTTACACTTTTTTTTTCTAATATTGGGAATTTCCTAAAAGCAGGTTTGAGTATTCAGGCCTGAAATGTCCCATAACCTTTTGACATAAAATGTAGATTGGGTTCGAATCAGAACTTTAACTGAAAAGAATGACTGCTGTTATTCTCCCCTTGCTCGTGAGCTCTGTCTTAACTAACTTTGACTTCCTATCCCCTTCTGTTAGAATTAAGACCACTTCTGGGCAAAATTGTGAAGCAGAGGAAGGGAAGAAAACTGAAAAGGATGGAGAGGACCTGCCATGGGCCAGGTACTGCTTCATGTTTTACACACACATTTTATTTAATCTTCAGAACCTACCTCTGATGTAGGCATTACTAGTCCTTTAGACATAAAGAAAACCAAGACTCAAAGAATTTCAGGGCGCCCGTGATTATTCAGCTAGTACATTCCACTGTGCATTCATCCCTCCTTCCACAGTACCATCTTGCCTTCCTCAGAGCTTTCTTTCGCTAACCCCTTACCACATCTGTTCAATCATTCTGGCCTCCATTTTTAGGGATCCTCTCTTTACCTTGAGCTGCCCATAACCGAGGCACCCCATGGAGACAGTTGGGCCTCTGCTTTATACCCTGGCCTACCTCAGAGCTACCTCACTAGCTCGGAGGCTAGTCTTGGCTTTCCCATCTGAAAAATGTTATAAGACTACTTTCCCTATAGGTTTATGAGGATGAATTTGTGAACAGTAAATATATGACAGTCAGAATGCCTGGGGCTTCTCCCTTTCTTTGCATTTGAGCACCTTCTGCTCCTTTGGCAGAGGGTATAAATAGAAATGAGTTTATCAGACAAGCTCGGCCCAACTAAGGTGTTAGCCTGTTGATGTATTACTTCTACCCAATTAAAATGTAAAACGTGCCATTTCTTG